TCCCAGGCAATTGCCTCCCAGTGTAGAAGGAGTAGGGAAGGGCCCCTGTTCTGAGTCTCAGAGAAACCCCATGGTTCAGAATCACATGTCCCTTCCTGCATGAAGCCCATTTCAGACATTCCTTGAGGTAAGGTGGGCTGCACCACAGACTGAGGGACAGAGGAGCCCTAAAACAGGATCCTTCCCTGGGGTGAGTAGTAGTGATGGCTTAAAAGCTTCCTAGAAGCACTGTATCCCAGAACCAGCCCTCCACCCTGCCCATTCTGTTTACCAAACCATCTCAGGGCCTGTGGCACAACTTGCAGTGACCACAGGAACTTGCCCACAGCCACACAGGGGAAGATCTGGATGCAACCCAAATCCTTGTTGGCCCCAACCTGGGACTCTCAAGGAACTTTTAGATTGGCTGCAGCTATCCTGCCCAGGGCAGATACTGGTCTTGCTCATCACCCTGCTTATTGTAGTGTCTTAAAGTGAAGGGTGGGCTGGCTTTCCAGGGAGGCTTCATGATTACTGCTTCCAACCCACACACTGGACCAGAGAGGGATGGACGCAGGGACAGGAGACTGCGACAGGATCCGGTTTATTCTGCCTTGGCAGGGTGGTCCTGAGAGTGGCGGGTGCCACCCTATCCTGGGTGGAGGGAGGGCCCGAGGGCCAGTTAAGGCCAATGGCGGGAGAAGCAGGGGGCACACAGCCCCTGGAATGCAGTGAGGCCAGGCTGAGGCCCGGAGGCAGCTGTGGTAGGCCTGGGCAGGGTGCCCCTGCCGCCCAGGGTGGAAGGCATCGAACTGGGATGGGGCCATGGCCTACAGGACCGTGGACCCAGGCCACACGAGCACCCTGGGAAGCGGGTGCAGGATCACATGACACAGAACATGAAACACAGGCACAGAGCTCACAAGTAAGCACATGGACTAGTGGGCACAGATTCACAGGCCAGAGAGACATCCAACTGTGGCCAAGGTGGACACAAACACAATGGTAGTGCCACATACAGATCAGAGAGACATGGCACCATGGAATACATGATGGCCACCAGGAACGAACCAAGCCATGGAGCTCTAGGGAAGAGGGAAAAGGGCCTTTTGGCACGACTGCACTGGAATCATGTGAGACATGGGTGGCAGGGGGCTGGTTTCGAGATGCCTAGGGCAGCACCCCCCATACCCTCTGGGCTTAGTCTGTCTTCCACACTTTGTTGAGAAGCTTTACCACCTCATCGTAGATGATAAACACGATGGCCACATCCAGGCAGACTCGGCCCAGGCGGGGGACAGTGCCCTTGTAGAAACTGGGTGAGGGAGGGGTATGAGGTAAGTCAGGGAGGGAGGAGCAGAAGGACAATGCCCCTTCAAAGGGCAGCCTCCAGCTCCCTGCTAGAAGGAAAATAGAGGCCTAAAGGGGGACAGGAGGGTGGAAGACCAGAGATGGTCTGGGTAGGGATAATAGCCCTGTACTTCCCCTACTTACGCTTTGAGCCCCTCTTTCCTCAGGATCTGCAAGCCACAGTCCCACGTGTTCCGGTATTTGTGCGCCTCCAGGCCCTATAGGATACCAGTGGGCTAGAGTGCTTAGCAGCTAGCCCCTGACTGGAGTTCCCCTCCCACTCTTTCAGCGCCCCCCCACCTGCATCCGGGTCTTGATCACATCCAGAGGCGTGTTTCCGAAGACACTGGCTGCACCGGCAATAGCTCCAAAAACCCCAGTGATCAGTGGGTTCATGGGTTTGTTGGGGTTGTCCCCTAAATATATGGGGAGTTGTGATTAGTGGGTGCTGGGAGGATAAAGGGGGATAGGCTTTGAAGGTAGATAGGAGCCTGAAGCAAGGGCTATGAAAGTGTCCCCGTTCCTCAAAAGGGCAGCCCAAAGGGAGGCATCTACCTTGCAGTATTTGGAGGTGGGGCCTGGGACACACAGACTCACCTCTGTACCAGTTGCGCAGGGAGGTCATCACAAAGAATCGGATGGCTTGGTTTGAGCCCTGTTTCAGCACAGTGGCGGTGAGGCCCTGGTAGGTCCCCTTCAGTCCTGGGGGCAGGCAGCTTAGAGTTACCCTGGTGCCTCCCAGACCCCAAGGGGGATTGGGAAGATGTCATGTGAAGTGCCAAGACATAAAGTAGAAGTACAGGCCCTTTTTAGCCTGGTGAAGGTTTCTGACCCTCCCAAGTGGCTCACCTTGTTCCCGTACAATCTCCCTAACCCCGTGGAAGAATCCTCTGTACTTGGGGTTGGGGGAGGTCTGGTCATGGATGAACTTCACCTGAGAGAGAGGGGGGGCATAGAGAGAGAGAGAGAGAGAGACGGGGGCAGGCAGGCAAAGAAGCTAGATCTGATTCCATCATCTAACAAGCACACCTTGCCCTGTCGATATCAGGTTCAGAGACCACCAAGGTCAGGCCAAGGCTGGGGATGGGGGTGTAAGCAGAGCCACCCTAGGCTGTCCTGCACAGAGGCCCCAGGACAAAAGAGAGTCTTTGCGTTTTTTTCTGCTATTTTCCAAAGTTTGGGCAGCAAATGTGTACGTGTTCTGTTTAAAAAAGTATTTTTAAAAAAGATATTAGTAATAATTTTGTCTCCACAATAGACAGCCTCCACAGGAGACCCTTCCTGCCAGGCCTCCCCAGTAGTCCTTTAGTGTTCTCCCTCCATGCTCTGCCCAGCTTCCTTGAGATCTTCCCACCTTGATCTTCTCCCAGGAACAGACTTACCAAACCCCTGCTATCTCGATCCATCAGCCCTTCCCCCCATGACAATCTCAATGGGGTACATGGTAATGGTCTGGGGTACCTTGGAATACCGCCCCCCCCCCCAGCTTTATTTCTGCGCCAGGACTTTCCCCACCTTGATGGTCTCCATGGGGCACACGACCACCACAGCCTCGGCCACACCTGCACCCAGGCCACACAACAGCCCCCGTGTGCTGTCTAGCCTTCCCTGGGCGTCCCGCATGTGATTGCTGAGGAACTCGAACATTCCAAACCTGGGGACGAGAGGAGGGTAAGATGTGTCTCCGCTTCTGCTGGGGTAGGGGGCATCTCCTAGTCGCCCTGACCCAGCCTGGCCTCACCTGACGGCCGCCTTGGGAATGGAGCCGTAGAGAAGAGAGCTGAGGCCACGGTACAGGCCCAGAACGCCATGGCTGCGGACCGTCTGCCGCACGCAGTCCCCTGCAGGAGGGGGCAGTCAGGATACTGCGACCCTCAGCACCCGCCCCGCGCCGCTCATTGCCTCCCATAGCCCAGTGTCCGCCCCCTCCTTACCGATGCCCCGATACCGTGGCGGGTGCGAGCGCTCATCCAGCTGTAGCTGCGTCTTCACATACTCAGTTGGGAATGTTATACAGATTTCGATGCCGCCGGCCAGGCCGCCTGCAGGGATAGGGCAACCAGGTCCTAAGACGTCGCCCTGGGTGGCCCCAGCCGCCGTTCGGGCCCCTCCCCCGCTCCGGACTTCGCCCGGAGGAGCCGCCAACCGTACTGCGAGGCGGCCAAACCTGGTGCACACGCCCCCCACCCCGTTGTCCCGACGAGGTGCAGAGACGACACGCCGGGCGAGCCTACGGCGCCAGGAGGAGACCGGGGACACGTCCCCCGTTACCGTAATACCCTCGACCGACCCGGAAGTGAGGCGGGGCCTCGGTGTCCCGGGCCCACCCGGAAGCGGAGCGGGCGGGATGGGGGTCCACGTCCCGGATGGGCCCACCTGCTAGGATCGCCTTCCCGGGGTGCGTCAGCTTGGCCTTTCCGGTTGCGGGCGCCGCTGCCGCCAGAGCGCGGGGGGCACGGGGCGCGGCCATGTCGGGCAGGAGGCGGGGCGCCCGGTGTTAGCCACGGGTCCGAGCCTCCTACGCTGGGCACTAGGTCCGTGGAGTCGGCAGCGGCAACCGGTTCTGGTCCCGGGGGCGGGGCGGTCGCTTCAGCTCCCGGGCTCCGCCCCGCGTGGCCTGAGCAGGGCCCCGCCCCCGCCCCGCCCCCGCCCCGCCCCGTGCCCGCCGGGAAACTGAGGCCGGGGCGGGGCGCGCGGAGACAGGCGTCGGGGCGGGGACCAAAGCCCAGCCAACGGCGGGTGCCGAGTCTCTGAACAAGCGTGAGCAGCAGGGTCAGGGGCGGGGCCTAGTGGAGGAGGTGCTGCGCCCTGGTGGGGGAGCAGTGGGTCAAGGTGCAGTATCTCTGCCTGGAGCAATGAAGCGCTGGGGAAGGATTGGGCCTCTGCACGTGGTAATAAGGTTCCCCGGAGGTCTCAGAGGAGAGAGAGGCAGATACTCTCCTAAGGCATGTGCGTCCAGCCCCATTGCTGCCGTCTGCGAGCGTGGCTTTCTGACACCTCACGGGACCGTGTAGTTGCTATCTTGCTCTTCAGAATTTAGAGCTCCGTGCAGCAAACACAACTTGGCTGCATACTTCTAGATAGCTTCTCTGGGCAGGCACAGCATCCCCCAAGGTCCCAGCAAATCTTTACCAGGCTTTGTGACCTATTTAATTGGCTTCTGTCCCTCCTACCCAAAAGAGCACCAAACAGAGAAGCTTTGTCTTGCTAAACCAACTTTTAATATTCATAATCAGCAGGAGACTCAGAGTCATGAGGTTTGGCATCTCCATACAAATCCTATATGTCTGCAAAGTAGCCTGGAGAGGGCAGCTCAGCCAATATGGGGTGAAGAGAATGCCCCTCCTACCAAGCTTCAGGGAATCCTTGTAGAAAAGAACTTCCCTAGCAATGCCTGGCTCCAGCCAGAGAGTCTGGAAGCAGTAGTCCCACTGTGGTTGGTGCTTGTCTTCTTGGGCAGTCAGGGTCTACTGAGACCTTCCCAGGTTCTAAGATGGCTCAATAGCTGCCATCATTGGGCTTCAGTAAAAATGAATAACAGCCAATGTGTCCTGCTTCCCAATCAGGGTTCTCTGTGTGTCCAGAGTACAATGTTTCTTGGAGAAATTAATAATTGGGTGGAGCAGGGTGTGGATACTGAATACCCACTAAACACTGAAGCTAAACACAGGAGGCTGGGTGAAGGTAGGAGCAGCTGCATATCCATAGGGGAAGCCAGCAGAGCTCGCTGTCAGTGTCAACTGCTGGCCTGCAGAAGAGAGAAGCCCAGAGTGAGAAGACCTCCTGATGCCCAGGTTGGGGTTTCTCTCCTGGCTGCCACTTGAGCCAGAGGCCCAAGAAGCAGGGTTGCTAGGATCAACCCTGACCACCTAGAGCTTGAGGCATGGGGAGAGCAGAAGTCTGGGATCAAAGAGGGTGGGAGTGTTGCTGTGGGGCTGGCCAGGCTAGAAGGCAAGCTGGTCCTCATATTGGACACTTACGTAGCTCAATCGGCTGGCTCTCATTCATGCCCATCAAAATCTAAAAAAACCAGATTGATATTAATAGTGAGTGCATACGCTGTCTTGGGAGGACACACTGGAGCCCAGCTGGTATGCTATGTGCTCATACCACCTAGGAAGGCCTGTTAGCTCTGCAGTGCAGTCAGGACCCAACAGCTTTTCCAGTCTGCTAAGACAGCCAGGCCATCTCTAGCAGGTTCTCAGGTGCAAAGCCACTCCTAGCACAAGCCAGCAGCAGCCATACACTCAGGGCCAAACAGGGCAGGACACAGCAGGGTAACACCCTAATCATAAGGCACGTGCATTCAGAGCAGAGAAGATGGCTATGCCAAAATTCCTGGACACTGCCCTTTACACCTAGAAACTACTGAAGCCCTTACTGCCCCCCAAATATCCATCCATCCATATCTCTATCTGAAACCCAACTAGGGCAGGGCAGCATGAATCCCCACCCTAGTGTGCTACCTACCGAACACAAGTGGGGCAGGCTCCCCCACATGCTCCTCATGCTTGTGCAGACTCTCCAAGGCATCTAGTTTGTCCACCTGCAAGAGGCAGGAGCATGTGAGCACCCATACAATAGAGTACAGTCCTGCTTCTAGGTGAACATGGGACAGAAGACCTGACACAGGAACTTCCAGGAAACTTGGAGCTGAGGATGTGCAGAACAGCCAAAGTGGCTCACTCCATACCCTACTCTGCAGGAAGGCCATAATTAGGTGAAGCCTGGGGACTGGGGCTGAGACAGAGCATCTGGAACAGCTCTGGTGAAGCCCCAGCTGCTGTTCCAGCCTAGCTGCTTTGTGGTGGACTTGTGGCCCCCAGGTACACTGTAGCAGTGGCTAGTGGTCATAGGCTGCGAGTGTGGCCTGGCTCATAAGGGCTGAGTCTTCCTCTGGACACAGGGACAGCACTGCTTATGAACCTGCAGGGCTGGGGTAGTGTGCTGTGACTGCCTGCCCCTCCTATCCAATAGAGAGAGCATGTGGTCTTCAAGAGACCAGTCACCTGAAACCTGGGACACTCCATCTGTGAGACACTGAGGACAAGCTGCATCCTTACTCTTCTATGAAGTGCCATTACATGCTGCCCCTGTGCAGTAGTCATAGGCTGGGAACAGAATGAAGTGGTACAGAAGGGACTGTCAGAGGTGTGAGCACTGTTCTAATGGGGACAATAGCAACTGTGCATCTAGAATCCCCCAAACCAGGTGTGGAGTAAAAATGAAGATAATTTTTCCCCTATGAGCTTGGGTCTGGGAAGATCAGGCCAGGCGTCCTGATAACGCCTTCCTGCAGCAAACCAGGACCTAGATGAGGCATTATGGCCCATAGGCTGTCCTCTTTGCTGGCAGTTTGCAAAAATCTGAGCTGGGACTGTACCTACTTCCACCCAGACAGTATTTGGAGGGTTGCAGAGGGATAGCCTACAAGTTTCCTAGATGAGCTGGCAGGCCCCAACCTAGTTCTTCAGTCAAGAGGGGTTGTGGCCTTCTTTTTAAATTTTTTAACTATTTTTATTAGTTGTTGATGAATTTTAAAATTTTATTTATTTGTATGTGGTGCTGAGAATTGAACCCAGTGCTTCACACATGCTTGGCAAGCACTCTGCCACTGAGCCACAACCCCAGCCCAGTTGTGGTCTTCTTGTCTGGGTCCCTCACCATTATGGCACTGCCATGTTGCCTCTGTGGGACTGCAGCTCAGGCCAAGAACAAGCTCATGTCTATACCCCCACACGTCTGTTGAGGAGACCCCTTGTGGGACCCTCCTCTCTTTACCACAGCAGGCACCTTGTCTGGCAGAAACAGGGGCAGGCATCACAGTAGCCACTATCTCCTAGGTATAATGGTGGTATCTGGAAACCATGGACTAACACTGGGTTACCTATGTGGCCACAGTGCTGTCTGAGTTGACAGTGGCTGCCAAAACAAACACCATCATCCAAAATAGAAAACATGCTCCTGAAAATCCTTGGGGGACAGTCCCCTGTGGTGGGGAAACCAGGGACCCTTGTAAACTCAACCAATCTGTGTCCTCTGGCTGCTAAAGCCACATAGTCGGGGTTGCCATCCCTCACCCCTCAAAGATAATGAAGCCTCACCCAGGCAGGCTATCCAGATAGGACTAAGTTACATTCTCTGCAGTGAAATGATGGCCCTAAATGGCCTTTGGAGTGGCCCTCACCAAGGGCTGGACAATCCCGGAGGCTCTGTAGGCAGCCGGCAGCCTTGCAAATCCTTGCAGGTCAAAGCTAGCAGCACAGGCTATATCTTTCCAGCTTACACTAACCAAGGATCCCCATATTACCTTGTACCATGGCAAGAAATTTTAACAGGAGTGGCTTTGGGGTATCTACCTGGCTTGAAGCAGGTTTGGTGCATAGGTACAAGGGCAAGAAGGTGGTACTGAGAAACTTTCCACAGTTTTAGAAACAACTGGGAGAGACAACACAAGTCTCTAAACACAGGCTAAAGCTGGGTCCCAAACAGGCACTCCTAGGACTTGGTACTCAGAAAAAATTTCAAAATCAGACACTGACCTGAAGAGGTAGGTGAAGTCATCCCTGCACAGCTGTTGGAAGGAGTTAACATGTGGTAATATTCCTATCAAGTGCTCAGCATAAGGGGGTCATCACCAATGAGGTCACCAATAGCTGCATCCCCAGACTCCACTAGATGCTGAGAGGAGACAGCCTAGCCTATGTGCATCCCAATAAGCTGTGTGCTGAAGGGGAGCCAGTACTACCAGTTGGTGCCTCACTGATGAAGCCCAAGGTGAGTACACCTTCCTGCTCCCTAGCAGTGTACTTTGCTGTAGCTTCCCAGGCAAGGTCTGCAGAACAGCTTCTGGGAATAAGAAGTGCTTAGTTCTACCCAATGCTTCCCACAGTGATTTTCTAGAGCAGGGTGCTATTGGGAAAAAAAACTACTTGCACATAGAGGAAACAGACCATTCCCGAAGGCAGGCCAGGGCTAGGGGTGGGCAACTGGCCTCAAATGGGCCCACCACCAGGGCCAAATGGGCCCTATAGGCCCAGGGTCAGGTTACCACCAGGGATAGGCTATGCCAGGGAGACACAGCATAGTCATTACTTACTTTGTTAAGGAACTCTCTCATCACCTGAATGAAGTAAGGCATAGCAAAATCCATGAGGTTGTGTCTCCAGGCCAGCTCGAGCACCACATCTGGGTGAAGCAGATCATAGCAGGTGAAGAGAGAGGCTGCAAAACACTCCCACTTTCCTTCCTCCAGGAACCACTGTAGCAACTTCTCCGCTAGCTCAGGATCACGTGACTCTGAGGCATGCTGCATGGCATCCTGCAGCCAAAAAAACCAACAACAACAACAAAAACAAACAAACAAACAAAAAAGGCACAGCTCAGGTTGTTCTGCATAGGTAGAAGCATTGAGCCTTTAGTCAACTGGGGTGGCAGATGCTGCTCTACAAGGTTCTTCTTTACAGTATAGAATGAGTGTGTACACAACTGAGATGTTCCCTGTGCCTGTTGCCCTTTGATAAGATGAAGGTGCTACCTCAAGGGACTCTAGAGAGGACCAAATGTGGTTTTCTCAAACCTTGCTGAATTGCCTGGAGGTGGCACACACAAGTAGGGCACCCTGGGAGACAGAGGTTCCACCTCAGGGCCAAAGACATAGGTGTAGAGGCAGTGTGCAGGGCTTCTCTAAGGGACCTGCAAGGGGAGGTAGTTGCTTAGACCTATAGCCATGCCTCCATCTGGAGCTCCAACTAATGTGGAACAGCTATAAGGGAATAGCTAGTATTCAAGAAATAGCAATCTGGTTGGGCACAGACACATACACCTGTAATCCCATATCATGAAACAAGTTTGAGGCCAGTCTGCACAATTTAGTGAGACCTTTTCTCAAAATAAAAAGGGCTGGGGGGGTCTGGGGATGTGGCTCAAGCGGTAGCGTGCTCGCCTGGTATGCATGCGGCCTGGGTTCGATCCTCAGCACCACATACAAACAAAGATGTTGTGTCTGCCGAAAACTAAAAAAGGGCTGGGGATGTAGTTCAGCCTGAGTGTCCCTGGGTTCAATCCCCAGTACCACACACATACATAGACACAAAGTGATTTGCTTTTTCCCTCAAAACCCCTAACTGCCATTTCTGTATTTGCAAATGTCTTTGTTTAAAACATTATGTACAAAAGGCCACACACATTATGACAAATTAGTAGGAAACTAGTGCTCTGGTTGCTTCTAGCTGTATGAGCTAGCTTTTCTCACTCCAGCCCAGCCCTTGTGACAGGTGTCACTACTCAGAAATGAAGTTACTTGCCCATGGTCACTCAACCTAATTTGTGGACTGTGCAATTTGATGACAATTTGTAGAGAGGATGGGAAGCAGAGTTGCTGTTCCTGCTTCATGTACCCACTATGGGCTCTAATATAAGCCTCTGAGTTACCTGGAAGACTCCTGAATATATTCTGTGAGCCAGCTCTAGGTAGTAGTCCTCTTTCCCTTCCTCCCAAACAAATTTTCTCCCACCTGCTTGCTGCTTAGTTCAGAGTCCTGCCACAGCCTCCACACTGTTACTAAAAGATCAGGACTTTTTTTTAAAACTCTTTTTAAAATATTTTGGACACAATATCTTTATTTATTTTTATGTGGTGCTGAGGATCGAACCCAGTGCCTCGTGTGTACAAGGCAAGTGCTCTGCCACTGAGCTACAGCCCCACCCCAGGACTTTTTTTTTTTCCTGGCCACAGTTAGCTAAGACTCAAAGTGAAAGCTCCAGGAAGCCTTCAGGCACATGTGTGAGGTCATCTGATGCCAACTTGGTCATAGCCATCAGTCTCCCTGAATGTCTCCTTCTGACTGGTCACTCTCAGGTGGCCTGTCTTCAACCCGCACCTAAAGTCACCTTTCTGTTTTCCCTGTTCTATAGGCCTTAGGCATTTTCAGACCCCTTGAACTCTAGACTGAGTTCCTCTAGGTGGCTTCCTAGAGGACTTAAAGGTCCAACATGGTCCAACAAAGCTGTCAGGCAGTACCTTGCTCCCGCTGCCTGAAACCAGCTGGGGGCTGAGAATAGACCTTCCTCTTCTCATTATCACCCCGAGCCTGCACCACTCTCAAGTAGCTCTTGATCCTTATCCTTGCTGCTGTCTATTTCTCCTTCCAGACTGCTGCTGGTGCTCGACTGACCTTGCCCTGACCCATGACTACAACTTCACTGCTGCAGACTCCAGTTCCTAACTCATAAGTATGTGGAGGGACCCTATTCCTCCTGCCCTCAGCCCTTATCTGCTTCTCATCTGACCCATCTAACACTGCACATTTCACAGTGGCCAAGCTGACTGCACCCCAATCCTCAAGGGTGCCACTGTTGATCATATTATTATCTAACTCTACCTCTGCCATTTGGAAATACTTTTTCCAGTTGCTCCCTGTCTGGGCATACTGTGATATGGATACTCTCTTCCAGGGGACTTTGGTTCTGCTCAAGAGAAGACTCTTCTAGCACAGCAGTGTTGACACTTGCAGGGGGGCCACTTGTGACTGGGGGCTGTTGAATATGATTTTTGGTCTCTATCTCCTATTAAAGCACTGTGTCCCCAGTTGTGACAAACAAATGCATCTTGGGTAATGTACCAACAAAAAATGTGGAAAAAAACAAAAACAAACAAACAAAAACAAATGCTCCTTGGAGAACAGAATCACAGGTCTTGGGAAGCATGCTTTCCACTTTCTACCTATGGTTTTGTCCTTTGGATTGTCTTCTTGGTTCATGTGGCTCTGAGGGGTGGCTTGCTAGAAAAGAAGGACCTCTGGCAGCACTTATACCACTGCTCACTCATCATTGTCCGGGAGGCAAGGAGGCTGCACATTTATGTGTGGCAGGCACCATGGGGACAGAACAGAGTAGGTGAGACAGGCTGGCCAGGATGTGTCTGAGTTCTGTTGTTGCTTTCCAGTAGCTAGCTCCTGGGTACCTTCTGTTTGTTTGTAGAGTTTCTGGAGGGGACCTATCAGCTCTCAGAAAGGATCTTGAGCACTATCACTAAGGGCTAGATGTCATAGCAAGTGGTTCTTCTTTTCTTTCTTTCTTTTTTTTTTTTTTTTTTTGGTACTAGGGCTTGGACTCAAGGGCACTTGACCACTGAGCCACAACCCCATCCCTATTTTGTATTTTATTTAGAGACAGGGTCCATTGAGTTGCTTTTGCTGAGGCAGTCTTTGAACTTGTGATCCTCCAGCCTCCTGAGCTGCTGGGATTAGAGGCGTGTGCCACCATATCCTGCTAAGTGCTCACTGTTTTGTTTCTTTTTTGTGGTGCTGGGGATCAAACCCAGGGTCTCATGCGCACTAAGACAAGTGCTTCTTCACCAAAGAAAAATGCAAATGGTCAACAAATACATAAAAAGATGTCCAACATCTCCAGCAATTAGAGAGATGCAAATTAAAACTAGGCTGAGATTTCATTTCAGAATGGTAACAATCAGAATGACAACAATAAATAAACAACAATATTGCAAATTGGTGCAATCACTCTGGAAAGCAGTATGGAGATTCTTCAGAAAACTTGGAATGGAATCTCCATTTGACCCAGTTATCTCATTCCTCGGTATATACCCAAAGGACTTAAGTTTAGCATATAGTGACGCAGCCACATCAATTGTTTATAGCAGCTCAATTCACAATAGCTAAGCTACAGAACCAACCTAGGTACACTTCAACAGATGAATGTATGAAGAATATTATTCAGTCATAAAAATAATGACTTTATAACTTTTGCTGGTAAATGGATGGATATTGAAGACTATCATGCTAAGTGAAATAAGCCAATTCCAAAAAAACAAAGGTCGAATGTTCTCTCTGATATGTGGATGCTAACAGAAAACAAGCAGGGGTTGGGGGAGAGAACAGAAGTTCAGTGGATTAGACAAAGGGAACAAAGGAAAGTTAGGGGGATAGAAATAGGAAAGACAATAGAATGAATCAGACATAACATCCCTATATTCATATATGAATACACCACAATGGAACTCCACATCATGTATAATCACAAGAATGGGACCCAAATTAGAATAAGTTATACGCCATGAATTCATGTCAGGATATACTCTACTGTCCTGTATATCTAAAAACAACAAATAAAATTTAAAAAAGAAAGTAAGTAAGGTCAGATTGTAAAATGAACATGAAACCAGAGAGAGGTGAGACAGAGGAAGCACCAGGGATAAAATAACTAGTAATGGAGGGCCTTAGAAGTCAAGGTAGTTTTAAATATATCTTTATAGTAGTGGAAAGCATTTGAAAGAAAATTATTATATTTTAGAAAGATCATTTTGACAGTCAGCAAGAAAAATGTTTTCTCAGAATATAAACCATGATCAATTGTAAAAGAACTATGGTGAGTCAAAATAGTTATTTTTTTTTAGTTGTTGATGGACCATTATCTTATTTATTTACTTACTTGTGGTGCTGAGAATTGAACCCAGTGTCTCATAACTGCTAGGCAAGCATTCTACCACTGAGCCACAACCCCAGCCCCAGTAGCTGGGTTTTTAAAAAAATTAGACATGAAACAGAACAGAGTATATTCTACAAAAGAGCATAAGAAGTCTTGTTTTGCTGGGCATGGTGGTATACACTTGCAATCCTAGCAGTTTGGGAGGATGAGGCAGGAGGATCGAAAGTTCAAAGCGAGCCTCAGCAACTTAGCAAGGCCCTAAGCAACTTAGTGAGACCCTGTCTCAAAATAAAAAATAAAAAGACTGGGGGTGTGGTTCGGTGTTTAAGCATTCCTGGAAAGCAGTATGGAGATCCCGCTGCCCCCCCCAAACAAAAACAAAAAAACAAGTGCTCTACCTCTGAGCTATATCCCTAGCCCAGGGCTAAATATCATGAAACAATCTAAAACACTGGAGATGACAATTTAGGATGAAGCTCAACATGATCCTGATATCAAGGATCACATGCCTTAATGGAGTCAGAGCTCAGGTGCCATGAAAACAAAAGCCTGGGCAAGTGGTGGATACTGTCTGAGCACACTGGGAAAATGCTAAGGAGCACCCAAGGACAACTCTGAGGAGTAAGATCCTTAGTCAAGCTTACCACCTGCTGGGTTGCTCCCAGGGTTTCCTGGCACACAGAACCCTTGGAAATAAGTTCATCTACACCACTCCACTTTGCCCTACTGGGGAGATGTTCAGGCCAACCAGAGGATGGCAATGCCTTCATGCCTGATTAGCAGGTACCTGGACTTAGAGTTTGAGAGAGGTCCTGAACCACCTCTCACTGGAAAAAACAAATGTTTTGAATTTAATTTTAATTTAGGTTTAATTTCTCAAATTTTGATAAGTAGATAACAACAACAACAACAACAAAAAAGAATCCTACCATAATATGTTTGGGCTGCTGGAAATGAATCAACTCCATAAGACTCTGCAAGAACCTTTAATCCAAATAATTTCTAAGAAGTTCTAGATTCTTCTTAATTCTCATCCCATGCTCTAAAACTGAGTTCCTTCACCACCGACAAGGATCTCCTGGTGAAGTTCAGGCCCCGGTCTCTGGGAGAGGTCTGAAGTGTGAACCCTTTAATCCCCAATCCATAAAGCATCAGTGAGGTGGCCAGGGCAAATGAGGGAGGGAACAGTTGTGTGCGGTGACCAACCTTATAGAGATGGTCCTTCTTGCAGAGTTCCACACTCTGGGCCCACCGATTGTTGCCCTTGTAAAGATAGGCTGCTATGCGTCTAAATTCGATCATCTGGTGCTTCTCTAGCCGTTGAGCCAGGCTGATGTTGTCAAAGTTGTCATAGGCATCGATAGATGCCCTCAAGCCCTAGGAAGACAGCTTTTTCATGAGAGAGGAGACACTGTGACACAGGCTACCTGCACAGTGAGCAGGCACCAGGAATTACTTTGTGGTGGTTGCTGCTACCATAGCCTGAGAAAGGTCCCTGCCCATGTATCCACTGGTGCCTGATGGGGGCCCCCACACCCTCAAACTGCTATGAGAACAGACTGGCAGGTACACGGAGAAGCCCACTGGCTCCTGAGCTGCTTCTTCCACACCAACCTGATAATCTTCCTCTTCAGTCAGCAGATGGTTGAGTGCTTCATTCACATTTTTGTTGTTGTGGTTCTGGACTGAACACAGGTAAGGCTTCACTAGGGGCAACTGGCCTGCCTGATAAGTTGGAGAAAATGGTTGAGACACTCAGCCACACTCATCACAGAGACCCTGGAAGGGGTTGCCTGGGACATACTAATGAAGTGGAAGTGGGTGTGGGCTCTGCAGAGCCAGAGAACACTTTCTTAACAACTAGGATCAACAGGTCCTACATACACAAAGAGATCATTGGGTTACTCAGTCAATACTATTTCATCTGTGGACACAGGTTTGGAATGCAAGCCTGTGTCTGAAACCTAAAGCAGTTTGATAAATGGAATTTTGAAACTGGTTGGGGATCAATTTCAAAACTTATTTACAAAGGTGCTACCCTTTAGACAGCCTAGGCAGAGCTAGCTCAATATAATTATTTAGCTAGCTCTGAATATTTATTTCTCATAATTTGTATAAGTGGCATGTTCCCTATTCTATTTCTCTCAAATTACTAGAGAAATTGTTGTTGTTATTGTTATTTCAGTACTGGGGATTGAACCCAGGGTCTCACATGTGCTAGACAGATGCTCTACCACTAAGCTACATCCCCAGCCCCAATACACTCTTCTCTGGACAATGGGATTTAGCCAACTCACCTTTGAAAAGAAACTGACTGTCCGGGTATGGTCCAGCCGGGGTGAAAGCACCAATAGCAGGTCATTAATGAGCAGAGGCTTATAGTCCAAATAGAACTGTAGGGCTTTATAATAGAGCTCAATGTTGGCAACCTGGGGAGGGGGACAGCCCAAGGTCATTCCCTGCCCTGCCTCCCAATATCCTGGTCCACTGGGCCGCCTTCTGTTTTTTAATCAAATGCCACTTGACTATTGAGGCCTGTCATGACACCCCTAGGACCGAACTGCCTCAGATCTACCAACTCCCATCTCTGCAGTACTATTCTATTTAGTACTTGTCATTAGATACTCTGCATTCCTGTTTCCTGCCTTACTCAAGCACCTATGCAATTACCTGACACAGGTCAACCAATACTTGTTAAGTGCATGAAAGAAGTATAATAAGATGAAATAAACTTAGACATAAAAAACAAGCAACAAGGGCTGGGGATGTGGCTCAAGTGGTAGCGCGCTTGCCTGGCATGCATGCGGCCCGGGTTTGATCCTCAGCACCACATACAAAGATGTTGTGTCCGCCGAAAACTTAAAAATAAATATTAAAATTCTCTCTCTCTCTAAAAAAAACAAACAAGCAACAAAATTCTTTTATTCAATCAGATGCCCTCAGCTCTTCCTGAGCTATAAGTAAGCCAGTAGCATGTCTTATTACATCTCCAGTACTTTTGAGCTGGATGGTGTGTCAATCAGACCTTGGGTGAGCCTTGGGAAGACCCTGCACCACCAGGAAGGCTTGTCTTTCCAGACTTCAAGGTCTGGCCAGGCTTCTGTGTCTCTTGGCTCTTTCCCACTGGTCACTTGCTACTCTCCTGCTGGCTGGCATCACTCAATGACTTGAGAACTACAGCAATGATGTCCATGGCCTGCCTACAGCTCTACTACTCAGAAAGCAAGGTAATTCTTATGCTCCACAAGGGTATGAGCCAAGCCAGCAAGATGAACATATCTGTGTGAGTGAAAAGGGATCTGAGGGTATACATGGGGTGTGACCAGAGCTATAGCTACACTGGGGGCAGGGTGAGCACTATGGAAGCCTCTAGAAATGCAGGGTTTAAGTGACTGAGCAGCTATGTGGGGCCTAGAGGGGAAGCCCCTTTATGTTTACTGACAACTTTAGCCTCTCTTTCTTTTCCTCCTCTGACCTTTCCCTCTTATGTTAGAGCACTTGCTGTCACCAGGCTCCAATGTTCCTAATACCAGCTTCATAGATGCAGAGCAGTGACCAAGCATTGTTGCAAAGCTTTTCCTGTGTACTGGCTGGCCCCCAACAGCTCTGGAACTTGTCATCCTTCCAGGCTGGCCCTTTCACTCAGAAGCACAGAGGCCAGATCAGAGGGGTCTCATCTAGTCATCTAATAAGCAGAAGGAGTGCCAGAGATGTCACAAATCCTGGACATCATCTCTACTGTGCCTTAGATCCCCAGTGGGATGGGGTACTATTTCTGTTTTGTAGAAAAGAAAACAAAGGCTTAGAAATTTTGTCATGAATTCTAGGGTGATTGGCTGGTGTGCTCTGGGGTCTTAATGACAGTATTCATTACTTGTAAGAAGCACCTAATGTATGCAGCATCTACTGTATACTGACCCCTTTATGGGGAGAAATACACTATGTTCATTTCATCAATGGGATAATTCAGGTCCACAACAATGATATTTCTTTTTTTTTTGGGGGGGGGTACCAGGGATTGAACTCAGGGGTACTTGACCAGTGAGCCACATTCCCAGTCCTATTTTATATTTTATTTAGAAACAGGGTGTCATGAGTTGCTAAGCACCTTGCCATTGCTGAGGCTGGCTTTGAACTTGTGATCTTCCTGTCTCTGCTTTCCAAAGCCACTGGGATTACAGGCTTGTGCCACTGTACCCAGCTTCTTCTTCTTCTTCTATTTTTTTTCTTTTAGTTGTAGATCAACACAATACATTTACTTATTTATTTTTTATGTGGTGCTGAGGATTGAAACCAGTGCCTCACATGTGCCAGGCAAGTGCTCTACCACTGAGCTACAACCACAGCCCCAACATTTCTTTTTTAAATTTAAAAAAAAATATATATATATATATATTTTAGTTGTCAAAGGATCTTTTATTTTATTAATTTATTTATATGCGGCACTGAGGATTGAACCAAGGGCCTCACTTAAGCCAGACAAGCACTCTACCATTGAACCACAACCCCCATTTCATTTTCTTTAAAAAAATTTTTTTAGTTGTAGATGAACATAATACCTTTATTTATTTTTATATGGTGCTAAGCATTGAACCCAGTGCCTCACACATGCTAGGCAAGTGCTCTACCACTGAGCTATAACAGTAATGACATTTCTGTTTCACAGTTAAGTTAGTGAATGGTGGAAACAGAATGCCAACCCTATATATGTCAACAAGTTCCCTACTTGGCCTGCCACTGCCTAGCCAGGTGCCACACGGACTCAACAGCATACCTTCTTCATATGCTCAGAATGAAGACTAAGTGTTACCCTTCTATTGGGTCCCTACACAGGTATGTATCCTTTTCCTCTAACTGGGGATGATGTCTCTGTATCTCTTGTCCTTTACATATGAGCTGATGTGACATGTCTCTTATACATCAGAGTATGGCAGAAGCTTTTGTGTATCATCACACAAAGAAAAGCCTTGACTGTCAGCCCTACAGGTGGCAGATGAGAGAGATTGCTTTCCTGCTTAATAGGCCTCATCTGTTCTACACTGTTATGTACACTAAGACACAGAAAGGACTGCCGCTTCAAGTCGTTTTTAAAATGCACCCTGGTATCTAAGAAGTTAAACTTTGTATAAGTACAAAGAATTGATTAGGTGTGGATTTTCCAGCATGTTGACATATCTACCTGGGATGGACCATAGCAATGGGTGACCTGCTTGTCCTCTACTAGAAACCTGCAGAATGTACTCAGGGTGAGATACCCTACCAGAGGTCGCCAACTTCATATGCTACCCTACCCTACATACAAGATAACATGGATATCCTCCTCCACCAAGAACCTAACATGTGGCTTGGTGTTTGACCTTGTTGATGATTCTTCCTTTAGACAGTTCCCAGGAGGCACAGAGACCTCACTTGGCAGCCATCTTGCCACCCATGCCCACCACAGATAGCTGCTTATTGAAAAGAAGGTGCATGAGAGAGGCAATAGCTGTGAGGGGCTGCTGTGCCATCCTGCTCCTTAATCCAAGAATGGCAAGACTAAGATGAAGTTAGGATGCTTCCTTTTGCTGACAGATAGTAGAGGGGAGAGGGTAGTGAGCCAATTATTTACTCCAAAACACTGGGGCAAAATGGAGATGCTCAGTGCAAAAGGCCTGGGGACTTGCTGGATATGGTGGTATGTGCCTGTAATCCCAGCTACTTGGGAGGCTGAGACAGGAGAATTGAAAGTTCAAGGCCATCCTGGATAATTGAGTAAGACCCCGCCTCAAGTTAAGAAAGAAAAGAAAAAAGTTTTTGGGGTTTCATGGGCTCAGTAGTAAAAGATGTGTGTGAGGCTCTGGATTCTATCCCCACTAAAATACTGTGTGTGCACACACACGACTGATGATGGTCAATTTCTTTCCTTTTATCCCCTTCTCCTAACTTGTGGGCAGAGCCAAGCAGAGAAAGAGAGGTCCTGAGGTTAGATCCACTCAGAAACCAGAAATGTGTAATAATAGCTTGTTTGATGCTAACACCCAAACATGATAACTCCTGACAGCTGTGATGGCTGGTAAGAGAAGTTCTGAGACCTTGTTTAGCTTAATGAGGTTGTAGGACCACCCTGGGATGGTCCCTCCACTAAGGGCATTTCCTGTGCCTCTAACAGGGCTGTCAGAAAAAAACATTAAAAAAAAAATAGAAAATGGAGGCTGACAAGGTGTGAAGCAGAGCCCTGAGTTGACAGAGCAGAAAAACGAGTAGATTAAGGTCTGCATACTGACTTGACCCTGTCTACAGCCCAGCTGGGTGGCCCTAGCCTGTAATCTGTCCTTCCTGAGCATCAGTTCCCTTCATGTAGATGGAATTACCACCATTCACCCAGATGATGGTGCAATGCACGTGTAACAAACACACATAGGTGGGGTGGGTTGGGGAGCATACTCTGGTGTCGACATACCCTCTCCCCACCAGAACAGGGCCTGGCAGAGGCAAGTAGTTGCCAGAGCTCTGTAACCCACTTACCTTGGCAATGAAGTCCTTGAACTGACCTTCTTTCCAAGATTCAGTGGGGTGACTCATCATGGTGAGAACAGCATTGTCATATTCCTCATACTTGTCATAGAGGAACACCAGCTCTGCCCAGAGGTGTGCTTGCTCTGCGGCCTTCAGCACCTGAATGGGGAGGGCATGGCAGGGATCAATTTGCACTACTCAAAGATGTGACCAGAACTATGGGAAGGACACAGGTACCTTTGGGATGTTGACACGGGACCAGAAGAGCTCCAGGTGCTCTGGCATCTTCTGAGGCTTGAATTTGGAGTACAAAATGGCCAGCTCAGTGAACATGCCCATGTGGGCCCTCTCCAGGCCCAGGGCTGCTTCTAGTAGGGACATGAGCTCCTCAAAGTATCCTCGATCCTGGCAGATCAATAGCCACACTTGGGTCAGAGGTATTACACACCTGCCTGCAGACACCCTCCATCCACAGTCCATACCAAAGTGTGGTCCATGCCAAATGTGATAACTGTGTGATCTCACGGAGGTACTAGTACAAACTACATCATTTTACTTAGCAACTGTCTGGGTCATATAACAATTACCAATCTTTAGATGCAGACCACCTCACTATAATTCTCAAGTTTAAGTTCAAATTAGGGTTACCATTTTAATGAAAAGAATTATGAAAAAAAACCAGAAATGGGGATAACAGGATCTGAGAATGATTCTTTGTAATCTCTCTACACAATGTACTTTGTGTGTGTGTGTGTGTGTGTGTGTGTGTGTGTGTGTGTGTGTTTGAGACAATGTCTCACTAAGTTGTCCAGCTTGGCTTCAAATTTGTGATCCTCCTGCCTCAGCCTTCCAAGTAGCTGGGTGGGATTACAGGTGTAATCCAGCACGTGTACTCCTGACTATAACAAGTCAACTCCACTCTCCATTCAGAAGAGCAACCCACTGTTCTCTCAGTCATGTGACTATGTCTTTAATTATGATGGCTATCCCTTTGCATTCAGCCCCAACTCCCTCTGCCATCCTCCCAGACAAGACCATCTATCAGTCTGGAGCATCTGGAGTACTGGAGAAACACCCCTTCATCCACACAACACATGTTGTCTCCCTGTACATCTATAACCACAGACCTGGAAAGGATTCATACTTGAGGCAACTCATACCTCTCCTCCACCCTAGGACACCCTCCATGACCACTCTCAAAGATATCCTTTCTTGATAGTGGCACCCATAGTTATACTCTATAGGCACCCTGCCTGTATCTCATCTAGCATCCACCAACTGCTACAGGCCCTACCGTTTGCACATCAAGGCCACTGCTCCAGCAACTTTCTCCTTTCTCTTCTGCATTAACTCTCCTTTACACAACTGTCCTCCAGCAAACATCCTGCTAATTGTCCTGTCCTAAAACATTCGTATTTTGAAACTTTGTCCCCTGCCAAATATCACCTCGCTTTCTACTCTCTTTTGCAGCAAAATCTATTCAAAAGACTTGTTCCTGTCTCTCCTGGCTCTTTCTAGCATCTCTAGTCAGGTCTGATCTTGTTCCTAGGATTCAAGGTGACCAGTGACCTCTCAGCTCAGCTTCCTAGTCTGTCTGTTCTCCTTGAGCTGGCCAGAGGCCCCTCCAGGCTACTTTTTACTCAGTAAGTGGGGAATGAGGCTCAAGTCCCAGGGAAGTTGTAATTGCTTGAACAAAGTCTGCCTTCACTATAACCACACCTGGTGTGACCGGACATCTCTAGGAACCCCACCAGTAGATCCAACTCAACAAGAGGATGGCGCCTACTAACCACTCGACAGCAGAGTTTATCTGCAATGTGAACACTGACTTGCCTGCCAAGGGTCACAAGGGTCACCTCTGCCTTGTGGTCCCCTTCTTGAATGTACCTGTCCCTCGGGCATCAGATAATCTCAACCCCTATGGGTTGCACATAGTGGCTGTGCCACAACCTGCCCAGTACTCCATGCCCAGTTTTCCATGGGGCATCCCATTGTGCAAGCCACTGTCTGGGCTTTAAAAAACCCCAGGACACAAAAGAAGAGAAAGGACATAAGAAATTTAGTGGGACATCAACCAGCGTGAGGCCCAGGTGGGCTAACAAGCCACTCTGAACTTCATATACTAAAAAAGGAACTGCACATTATTTAGAGTGTTAGGTATCACTCATCATCAGCATCCCTTGCAGGGATACTATGGCTAGAGTTGACTCATCAATGCTGCCTTACCTGGTAATAGTATATTAACTCCTCTAGCTCATCTGCATGAATGATGATGTGAAGGCTACACAGCTGTGCAAGGCGGAACTCCTGCCCATCCACACAGGCAAAGCATACCTAGGGGAAGGTCAGCGTGAGCATTTCTAAGACAAGACCTGGCACTACAACAGTTGCATGCAACTTGAAATGCAGAAATACTAGTGAAGGGTCTTTTTTAAGCAAATGGAAGATTCTGAACAATATTTCTATAAAATGACCTGAATGAGACTGGGAGGAAAAAAAATTACATCAACAATCTGTAGGCCAAGGGGTGTTCTGGACTATGGAAACAGAAGAGCTCATGGCGTTACTGCCCAAGTCCTGAGATGTAGAGATTTGTTTAGGTGACAGTTATGCTGGAATTTCAGGTATGTACGGCTCAAGAATAATTATTATCTGAGTGCTATCTGTAGGGAGTTGCTTGCTATAATAATTTAACTATAAAACTGTTCTATGCACTGTACTGTATGTATACTTTAGGATAACAAGAATTAAGTCAAGGATGCCCTTGTGCAGAGGGGCTCTTGAACTGTGCTGCTTCTTTTTATTATTGTAGTTGTGTATGAACAGAATGGCTTTATTTGTTTATTTTTATGCTGTGCTAAGGATCAAAAGCAGTGCCTCACATGTGCCATGCAAATCCTCTGCTACTGAGTTACAGCCCCAGCCTGAGCTCTGTTTCTTTAGAGGCTGAATAACTCTGTACTAAAACTAGAATGGGCTTGCTATGGTTTCCCTACTTCCCTTATCTTCTGAAGACAGCACATGTTCTCATGGTAGATAAAAAAGAACATGCAAATGTAATAATCATAGAACCCAATTGTTAACTTGAAATAATCTTTGGCCCATTATTTTCTAGTGTGATATATACACTTAGTACCCTACTAAATCTCTTATGCACCCAATGGAATTACATTGTACACTCTGATCAACAACACATTTCTCATGTTATTGGAAACATCTTTTCCCATGACTGGGGTTTGAACTCAGGGAAATGCTACCATTGAGCTTCACTCCCAGTCATTTATTTTATTTATTTTGAGACAGAGCCTTACTAAGCTGCCAAGGCTGACCTCAAACTTGCAAACTTCCTACCTTGGCTTCCAGAGTAGCTTGGATTACAGGCATGTACCACCACATTTAGTTCTGCTTATTCATTTTGAATAGCAAAATAGAGTCACAACATATATACTACTTAACCAAGGCCTTGATATTGGACATTGAAGTTGATTTTAATCTTTTATTAAGCAATGCTTCAGAGATTAACTGAAGTTTATCTCTTTCACATCTCTTTACAAAGTTTTGTATACTTAAAGATGATTCTGATATTAACAGCATCTCAAGACAACTTGCCCTACCAATTTGCCAAGAAAGACTAAGAATGTCACTACTAATGTGGTACCAAGAATTCAAAAAGTGTCATAATATACTCATAACACTGAAATGTCATACTATTAAGATGCCTTCTGGGGACTGATTGGTCTGAGATGGAGTTCTTCAGGGACTTTTGCTTCCCACCATAAATGCTAGCTTATGAATTTCTCTGAGCTGTCCCAGAGGACTGAAATTCTCTTTTGAACAGGAGGCAGTACCCAAACTCATCCTACTTGGTAGAACAGTGTGGAGTATAACAGGAAGGACAAGGAGAGAATGCTTGTCAGACTAACATTCTTCTGGAGACTTCCAACAGCTTACCTCTTTCCATGTCTCAGTGCTGTTGGCCTTGTGGCTGCTGTCCACTGCTGCCTGATACTCACCCAGGTGGACCAAAGTGGAAGCCAGGCGGGCAAAGTTAGAAATATTGTTATATAGCAGTTTGGCAGCCTCATACATCCCTTCCTCATAACAGCGGTCTCCAACCTGCAGATGATTGGGAACTTTACTAAGATGTTCTTATATGGAAAGATTTCCCCAGTTCCCTTACTCTCCCTGCCCCCATATTAGAAATTGAACCCAGGGCTTTGTGCATATTAAGCTACATCCTCAGACCCCCAGAATTGGTTTTTAAGTTCCTACATAAGGCAGAGTTATTTTTCTGTTTACTTCGGAGGTAAGTATCTTTCTTATCACCCAGAGCACCCAAAAGGTAAAAAAAAAAAATCCTCCTAGTCCCTATAAACCCTCCCTTTTCTCATGGGGCAGCCTCTGCCTGCGAGTTCCTATGTTACTATGCGTTCCAGCACCTCTCAGGCCCTGGATGTTACCTCCTACACCTGTACCCCACTGGCCTGGATTGAGGTATATTCCTTGCTGCTCCAGGTTCTTCCCTTCCTTGCTACTAAAAACTGCTGAGAAACTTGTGTCAGAATCACCCACTAGTCCTCATTCCTGCTGCCATTTATATATCCTCTTTGTTCCTTAATACATTCTTTGACTTCCTCTGCGCTGAGGACCTTGTCTTCCTCATGATAGCATCCCATCACTTCCATGGCCATTCCCTAACCCTTATACAGTCACCCTGTGAACTCCTGTCACAGGTTCACACACTCTGCCCAGAACTGACTCCTGTCCAGCACACTGTCCCAAGCACTTCAGATTCACCAGTCCAGTGACTCCACTAACTTCCCACTGTCCCTTCTGCCCTCCTTGACTGTGCCACCTTATGCTGGCAGCTTGTAGTCAAGTTTGTGGTTCTTGGCATTTACCCTCAACATTCTTAGTTGTTTTCCATTCTGTGTAGAGCCAACTTTTTTCACATTCTACACTTGGGAATACTGAGCTATACAGAGAGAGCTGAAGCTCAAAGTGTTGATGGGTCTCCCTTGCTCCCTTCCTTCCTTCATTTATTTATTAATTCATTTTTGTGGTACTGGAAATTGAACCCAGAGGTGCTCTACCATTAAGCTATATCCCCAGCCCTTTTTATTTCTGAGATAGGGACACTAAGTTGCTGAGGCTGACCTTAAATTCACAATTCTGATTATAGGCAAGTGCTACGGTGCCCAGCCTACAGGTCTCTTTGAATTCATGACCATGAAACTCAGACAAATTCATAATATTATAACTCTCCTTCCTTCCATGTCTTTTCTCTTGGTCAATCACTTCATATCTTCTCTTCTCAAACCTCCACAGTTCCTCAGTGGAGCCAGTTCCTGGCTTCCTATTTTCTGAAAAAACAGAAATCATCAGAAGAGCCCTGCTGCAGTACCATGCCTATGGCTATCCACCTCACATGCCACCACAACCTCATCTGCCATCACAACTGATGCACTTGACTCCTGACCTCTTCTGTTCCTCATCAGGGTCCCAAGGTCCCAGAAACCCGCATCAGTATCAACTTCTATAAAAAACAACTCCTGTGAGTTTAAGGAACCACCGTTCCTTCCCCTAACTTGAAAGAAAACAAATCCTACTCATTTGGCCTTACCTTTTTGGATGGCTGCCATTGTTTCTAACCTTCAGAACAACATTTTTCAGGAGAGCTGTCTACATGTCTACTCCCCTCAGTCTCTTGTCCCTGACTCTGTGACAGGGACATTGATCCCCCAGAAAATGGTCCTGTTCCTCTGGCCACTTTTCATTCTACTTCTCCCTGCTGCTAGGTTTTGAGGTGTCCTAACTTCTGCTGTGGCCCATTGCACCTCACACCATACCCCCACTGCCATGCTCTCCTACAGGCAGTGACTTTGAGTATTGTTTGTGTACTGCAGGTTGCCACATGTACATCTTTGGTCTGGACTTCTAATAAATCTAACTCTTCCAGCCAGCTATACAGATCCATGTGGCATCTAGTAGAGATCAGATTATTCAAGCCCTTACTTTCCCAAGGCAGTCTTTATACTGCTTGCCTCAGAAAGCACAAGCCCTTATGCTACCAAAACTTGGACTCACCCTTGCTTTATTCTTCTCACACCAAGTTGTTGGCAAATCCTGTCAACTCTTCCTCTGAGACATATCCAGAGGTGAAATATGCTTTGCCACTCACTTTGACCACACTCTGGGTGCTGTCACCATCAACTCCTGTTAGCATTCTATCTAGAGCAGATCGTGTGCCTCCTTTGCTTGAAATCTGTCACTCTCACCCAGAGGAAAGCCAGAGTCCCAACTTGCAGAGGCCAAAAAATGCTTCCCTACTGTGTCTGCTGTTTTGGCTCTAAGGCTCCAGTCACCCTGACCATCTTCATACTGCTACTGCACATACCCAAACACTCCATGAGAGATCCCTGAACTTACCCTCCTCTGTGCTCTAACCCCCCTTTCTCACCACCACAAAGGGATGATGACTCAGCCCCTACCAAGGGGACCTAACACTAGAATACCCATCCAGCTGCTCCACCTCATTTTTCCCTTTTATACTTATCATTTAATATGTAATAATGTATTTTTATACATTTATTTATTTATTTTTATGTGGTGCTGAGGATGGAACCCAGGGCCTCACATGTGCAAGCGCTCTACCACTGAGCCACAACTCCAGCCCTATAATAATGTCTTAATGGGAGCAGAAATTTGATTATTATTTTCATTGTTTCATTTACAGCTCTGTGCCCTGGCACAGAGCAAAAAGTCAAAACAGTATGTTGAATAAATATTTTCCTTTGTGCTTTCTTCTACTGCATACATGCTTAAAAACTCCCTTTTAATGCAAAGATTCAAATAAATATTTTTAAAATTTTTATCAAGGAACATACTTTTCCTTTTCAATATTTCATATGGATTGTTATTTTGGATATAGAATTATATGATGAACTTCAAATCCCTTTCAAAACATTAACCTAATTTTCAACAACTAGTTAGAATTTATTTTGAAATTTAAAGTCTACTTTTGTGTTATTTCAATGAACTATGTACAATCTTTCAAGAAAAGGACTATACCCAAAGGACCTAAAAATAGCATATTACAGGGACACAGCCACATCAATGTTTATAGCAGCACAATTCACAACAGCTAAACTGTGGAGCCAACCTAGATGTCCTTCACTGGATGAATGGATAAAAAAATGTGGCATTTATACACAATGGAATATTACTCAGCAATAAAAAAAGAATAAGATCATGACATTTGCAGGGAAATGGATGGCATTATAGAAGATTATGCTAAGTGAAGTTAGCCAATCCCCCCAAAAAACAAATGTGTAATGTCTTCTCTGATATAAGGGGGGTGACTCAAAAAGGGGTTGGGAGGGAGAGCAAGAAAGGAAGATTACCTCTAGATAGGGAATAGGGGTGGGAGGGAAAGGGAGGGAAAAAGGGGAATAGCATGGATGGTGAAAGGAGACTCTCATCATTATACAAAATACATGTATGAAGATGTGAATTTGGTGTCAACATACCTTATATATAATCAGATATATGATAAATTATTGTATAATGGTGTATTAAGAAATATAATGCAAAATAAATTTTAAAAATCATTAAAAAAGGACACTGTAATTGCTGTACAGAATATATTTTCTTTCTTTCTTTTAGGTATTTATTGAACCCATAGGCACTCTATCTTGAGATAGAGTCTTGCTTCATTGCCTAGGCTATCCTTGAACTTGTGATCCTTCTGTCTCAATCTCCTGAGTGGCTGGGATTACAGGTGTGTGTGCCACCACACCTGGTTTAGCATACATGTTCATTATCCCTTCATCTCTCTATCACTTTGCAGGATTAATATTTTACCTTTGTGGAAGATTATAATTATTTACATCTTTCATTTAGTGTTCTTTTTAAAAATTTGGTTAGGGTTTATTTAAACATTTTGATTTTATTTCATTTAAAAAGGAATACTTTTTCCCCATTAGGTCATCTGACATATGATAATGTTATTTTCAACATGTATCATTTATGTATCCAGATTATTAGTTATGAGTGAGCCAGATCATCTTGTTTTTTCGGGTAAACAGAATAGCTGAAAGTAAGTCCTAACATCTCTTCTTCTGAGGGCCATTCTGATGTGTATAGCTAAGTGCAAGTCAAATGCCCTGGGTCTTAATATCTATAACAATGACAGTAACAAGTTACTATGTAGCTTATTTTTTTTAAAAAAATTTTTAGTTGTCAAGGGACCTTCATTTGTATTTATTTATTTATATGTGGTGCTGAGAATCAAACCCAGTGCCTCACACATGCTAGGCAAGTGCTCTACCACTGGGCTGAGACCTCAGTTCCTCTGTGGCTTATTCTGCACCATCAAAAATCTATATCACAAGCCAGGCGCAGTGGTGCCTGCCTATAATCCCAGTGGCTAGGGAGGCTGAGACAAGAGGATCTTGAGTTCAAAGCCAGCCTCAGCAAAAGTGAGGTGCTAAGCAACTCAGTGAGACCCTGTCTCTAAATAAAAACAAAATAGGGCTGGGGATATGGCTCAATGGTTGAGTGCCCCTGAATTCAATCTCTGGTACCTTCCCACCAAAAAAAAAAAAAAAAAAAAAAAAAAAAAAAAAAACTACATCACAGCAGAGGGTGGGTGTGGGCAGTGGCCTATGACTGTAATCCCAGGCTGAGACAGGAGGATTGAGAGTTCAAAGCCAGCCTCAGCAACTTAGGCCCTAAGCAATTTAGTGAGACCCTGTCTCAAAAAATAAAAAGGGCTAAGGATGTAGCTCAGTGGTAAATTGCCCCGGGTTAAATCCCCAGTATCCTCTGCCTCCAGAAAAGAATCTACATCACTCTAAGGAGCATTCCCCTGACCTAATTTTGGCTGCAGAAGTTCATGGTCCCCAGGAGGCACATCCTACCTGCTGGATGTTGGCATTGTTGGGTGCATTAATGCAATCTTCTAGCTCAGACAGACGGCTGGTTTTAGCCAATGCAAAAATAAGTTCAGTCTCTATATAGGATGCACGGCTGTTTTTCCTAGCCATCTGCAGGAATTTCACTAGATCCTCCCAGTTGTCTAAGGACAGAGAGCAAAGTCAGGTTAACTCATATTTTATGTTTAAAATTTTTTTATGGCAAGTTGTTTTAATTAAGAACTTAAAGCCAAAATTTAAAAAGACTTTATGTAGCATTTATTTAAAAAAATACTGGACTCTCAAGAAAAAAACAAGTTTTAGATTTTTCCAATATGGAAGGCAGCTTGAAACTATCTCACTGATTTGCTATATGTTCCAAGAATTAGGAACATAATTACAATCACATCAGTTCCCAATAAGAAAAAAGTAGAAAATCAAATTTTACAACTTTTAAAATTCATAGGCTCAACAGGAAGCTGCCACCCTTTAAAAGAGAGAAGACTGATCTCAATCATCAAGGACTTGGACATAGGAGGATCCACAACTGCTTACACTCAGTGATTCATTGTTCATATCATAAATTCCTTATAAAATCTTGTTCATTTGTCTTCTACTTAGAAAGAAGCGGGAGGGAATTGGTCAATATGCCTTCCAGATTCACTTCTGCCTGGTTTTCAGTGGTAAATGCACAAATACAAGTGTGTTTTTGAGGATTCTGGCTGCTCATAGGCTGGAGGGAGTGGGCTCCAGGTGCTACGCTCCCAGCTATCTTTCTGATATTGTTACTGGGTTGGGTGGATGAAACTGGCTAAGCCATGGCTTTACAGAAGTCTGAACACCAGCTACACTGTTGTGGAATGAAGCTAGTTTGTGTTCTAAGAACCACTGCACTTCAAAGATCCAGAGTGAAAAACCAAGGCATGCTCAGCTTCATGTCCAACACCAGCTTTCCATTCATGCCTGCAGATGCTAAGCTGGAGGCCAAGCAGCTTGATCATCCCTTCCAGGACAGTCCTTGCTGCATGAATAGGCCTATAATTTGATGGAAATGAGCTTCTGTGAAGACTGCTTTCCACTATAAAGGCAAACACACTAAAGGAAGCAGCACTGTTGTATAGCTGTGCCTGCTCACGCTCCACCGCACTCTTAAAGGTACAGGTAAGACTGGCCAGGAATCAAAAACTGACGTATTCAACCTAATGCATGAATATTGCACATATCAAGACTTTAAGTTCTGTAGAAGAAAGAGCAGTTAAAGTGGAGTGGGCAATGTCTCTAATGGTGTCTTCCATTGTCCCCACTCCAAGGGCCTATTCTCAATTCATTACATGTGATTTCAGATTACAATTCTACACGTTCTGCCAGCTATTACAGAAGAACCTAGAGTCAAAGAACCTAGAGTCCACGGTAGGTGCATAAAGTGGTTGTACCTTACATGGTCTAAAAAAAAAAAACAAACCTGTAATTAAAAAGATGTGACACTGACTCAAAAGAAACTTCATTACTACCCTAAACACACAGTGAACTAACATTTCATTCACTGGAATATATTTTAACTATTAAATTATTAAGTGCCTAGATGACCATTCACAGAGAAGAGGTGGCTTTGCCTAGCCCAGGAAACCACAATTTACTGTAAGGTGATGTGAACTGAAATATAAACAGTCTTTAACTTTTCAGTAGCCATTGACTGTCCTAGGTCCTCTACACAAGGTCATGGTTGAGTGCTGCTTACTTGGTACTCTTTCACAAAGGGAACCACTTGTACCTCAGTAAACACAAGTCTAGTGGATCAATATATTATCCACAGGTATGTATGATTATAATGTGCCAATTAAAAAAGAAAGAAAAAAAAACAAGTCTAGTAGACCTCAGAGGCCAGATGCATGGCCCCTAGGACTGGTAACACCTCCCACCTCTACCAGCCAAAGCTGGAGGGAAACCTCTAGCCGTTTAAAGGTATCTGGTACCTCAAAAATGAAGACACTCTGAAACAACTCTTACAAGAATAACGGGTTGGGCTGGGGTTGTGGCTCAGTGGTAGAGTGCTTGCTTAGCATGTGTGAGGCACTGGGTTCAATCCTCAGCACCACATAAAAAAATAACTAAATAAAATAAAGTTATCAAAAAATCTTTTTTAAAAAAAGGAATAACAGGGTCTGGGGGCTTGTCTTTTTTTTTTTAAATGTTTATTTATTTTATTTTTCCGGCAGACACAACATCTTTGTTAGTATGTGGTGCTGAGGGTCGAACCCGGGCCGCGCGCATGCCAGGCGAGCGCGCTACCGCTTGAGCTACATCCCCAGCCCTGGGGGCTTGTCTTCACAAGCAACTAAGTGTTATGGCTTCAACATTCTGCTCTACTGCTGGGGTAGGTGACAAAATTCATCCTCACAATAGACTTCTGGCTGTTCCAGACCTTGTGTGATGGATGGTCTCTGTCCTTTTCAGTGTTCATGGACAATCTTGTCCCTTGGTCAACTTTTTAGGAGGCACATGTCTAAGCTGTTGCCGAGTAATGGGGTGTATGTACTCCATCACCCACCATCTCTCTGCAGAGGGGACCTCCACCTTCCTGTTCTCCACCTTCCTCTTTTTCTTGGCTTATAAAGCTGATTTGTAAATCTCATGCACCTGGGCACACACACTGACGTGTCTTCTGGCTTCCGGTGTTCATTTTTCTTTCTCCCCAGCCATAAAGAGAAAACAGGTGCTTGTTTTAATTTACTGGATAATCTTTGGGGACTTCTGACTTGCTTTCCTATTTCCTCTAGCAAATTATGCTGGAGGGTAATTTGTCAGTCTCTTTTGCTCTGGTTTTTTGTTAGGGTTTTCTTATACATCTTTCACTGGTAGTGCTGGCTGCGCCGTGCCTCTCTGTGCTCCTCTATAGGCCACTCCGACTCCTCAATAGTGGAGGCTTCAGTGAGCCAGCACCCAGGCTTGGGGCACTATTCTGCCTACCAGGTCCAATCTTTGAGGTGCAGACTGGGATCCAGGTGTCTCTGAGCCTGGGAGCATGTGCCTACTCCAATAGCTTCATGAAAGCATGGCGTGTCTCAGCTTGGCTCCTCATAGTGCTTCAAGTATGAGCTCTTCACCCCGCTGACCAGGACATGGTGCTGCTCTCCACCACCGGCCTATTCCAGCACTCCCATACGACAAAGAGGCCGCCCTGCCCGGTGCCCAGAGCTGATCATTTTAAATAGGGGCTTAGTTCCTCCCATTCTGCCCTCAGTCAGACATATTTGCCCTCTCCATTATGTCTCATGGAGAGCTCAGGCTCCAGGAAATGTCTAAAAGGTCTTAGCTGTACCCATAAGCAGAGCCCTACTCCAGGAGGAAGAAAGGGAAGGGGGTAGTGCCACAAGCAAGCTACCCCTGGGAACTGGAACCTTGCAAAAATGTTACGAGGGGGCAGGAAGTTAATTCTAGTCCCTGGAGAGGTCAGTGCCACCAAAAACTAGATACACCAGATACCCAGGAAAGTGAGCATAAGTCAGTGACCTTAAAATTACAACAGTTATCATCTATAATGCTTAAGCTGCCTAACCTTGTTAAAAAAAAGGGGGGGCAACAGTCTGGAAAGCTAGTGTCATTAACAGAGTATTACTAATCTCAGACTCTTATATCTGGATGCATAATACACAGATATTCCTGAGAAGTTCTTCAACTTCTTGTCTCAGTCAGGTTTCACACCAGTGATAAAAAGTGCCCCTGGAATGGGAATTTACTTACTGCTCTTGGTGGCGGCCTGAACAACTTCCAGGTAAGAGGTAGGGTCATCTGCTCTGATGTAGGAGTCGATGGCTTCCTTCACCAAGTCCTTCTGAAGCTGTGCTTGGGCCAGCTGACTCCACACAGCAGGCTCATTGCATTTTTCTGCAAACTCGTATGCTCGGTCTAGGTTTCCAATATTCTCAATCAGAACCTAGAGGTTACAAGAGGACTTGCTTTTCCACAACACCTAGTCAGCTCCAAAGTGCAGAAAAATCTGTTTGGTTGCCTATTCTGCCTAGAGTTGCATGACCATTTCAACACAGCTGGGCACTAGATGAGTGAACCGATGAAAAGATAAGAGTTGGTGGATTAGGGGGTGGTCCTAGACAGAGAAGAGACATTCTAATAGAAAGGTATAAAGAAATGGAAATGTTGTGGTGTGTGCCTGTAATCCCATTGACGCAGGAGGACTGCATGTTTGAGGTCAGCCTCAGCTTTCAGATCATAAGATTCACAGGCAAGTATAGAAGAATGGTAAAGGAAGAGGCAAGAAAAGTGAAGAATATTTGTAAAAGGAGTAATTACAGTGATATGTCCTGTGGTTTATAATTGATTTGGAGATAAAACCATAAAAGAGGACTGAGGATGTAGCTCAGTGGTAGAGCACTTGCTTTCCATGTGTGAGGCGCTAGCCTAGATGCATAGCACTACAAAAAATCTAAAATAAAGTCTCACAGGGAAGATGGGTACTTTGGTGGAAGGATAGGCAGAAAGGGCTGGAAGGATTGCTCTGGGAGCTTAACCTTAGATACTGAATGGTTCCTGTAACATGATGGTGGTAAAAAGCTAAGGTATGAGAACCTCCAAAAATCAAACACCCAAGTCACCAGGGCTGACCTCAGTACCGTAGGTACCTAAGTCCAGAAGAGTGCCATGGAGCAGAAGGAATAACAGCAGAGAAGGTGAAGGCAAGGAGATGACAGGCTGGGAAGAGCAGAGAGAAGTACAAGCATCCAAGAGATACACTGGATGACCTGAATGTCTGATACCCTCTGTGAATGACAAGGCCCTGAGATGAATCATGCAGTGCAGCACAGCATGGGCTTAAGACAACATGCCTGCAGCAGCCCACCTGGATCGCTGAGGCATTCACACCAAACTTGTAGAAGATGGTGAAGGCCTCCTCGTACAGCACACTACTGATGGCAATGCTTGCGATGTCTGCAGCATCATAGTTGTCGAGGCGGCTGATATACTCCATGACCCGTGTTCGATCTGCCTTGATGGCAGTCAGGATCAGCAGATTCTGGAGATTCCTGAGAAGAGGAAGTACTCAGCATGATGCCCAGGAATGAAGGCCCCACACAGCAGACCAAGATCCCTAACTTTTTTTTTTAAAAAAAAGTAACTAATACACATACATGATTGATAAGTAGATACAATAGAATATTTGTGCAGCAAATGGAATCTAAAGAGAAATAATACGGCAATGTCTTGGGAAAGCACCACTAAGAGAATCAACATGGGCAGTTACTGTGAGGGTGGCTCTGCCTTCATAGGAGCCCAGCATCTGTTCCCCACTTCAAAGGTAACAATCTTCTTAACGGTGTCTACTGCTCTTTGTGATCCTTTATAGTTTTACCACATCTTCTACACTCCTAAATAATACAGGTAATTTTTTTCACAAAAATGTGAAAAAAATCAATGTAATGCATCACATATCAAGAAACTAAAAAAAAAATACCACAAGATCATTATCAAATGATTCAGAAAAAGCATGTGACAAAATCCAGTAACTGTTAGTGATAAAAATTCTCAACAAAAAAATAGAAAGGAACTTCTTCAGTCTAATGAAGGACATCAACCAAATCTTAGAACTAACATTATCAGTAATAGTGAGACACTGGATGCTTTCTTCTAGGATCAGGAACAAGACAAGGATGTCCACTTCTACCACTTCTCTTTAACATTACACAGGAGGTTTAATTCAAAGCATAAAATGATATGAAAGCATCTAGATCAGGAAGAAATAAAACTGTCCCAATTTGCATGATTGATTTTTAAAAATCTCATTTGAATCTATAAGAAAAATCCCCAAAATTAATGTTTGGCAAGGTTGTAGAATATAAAGTCAACATACAAAAATTAACTGTATTTCTATATATGAGCAATGTTTAGCGATATACAATTGTTAAGTTAAAAAACCCACAACAAACTATTTCATAGCTCTAAAACTGTGGAATATTTAGAAATATTTAATAAAACATGTACATAATCTGTATGTCAAAAACTGTAACTTGCTGAAGAAAGCAATGAACTATTTAATAAATGGAGAGACATACTGCTTTCATAGACTCTCTACAGTAAAAGATGTAAATTTCCCCTAAATTAAATTGGTACACAGATTTCATGAAATTCCATTCAAAGTCTCAGCAGATTTTCTTGTAAACTCACAAGCTTATTCTAGGAATTGGAATAGCTAAAACAATTTTGAAAAAAAATGAAGCTGAGGGAATCATACTACCTGATCAACTGATTTTTTAATAATTATTTTTTAGTTGTAGTTGGACACAATACCATTATTTTATCTATTTATTTTTATGTGGTGCTGAGGATGGAACCCATGGCCTCACACGTGTTAGGCAAGTGCTACTGCTGAGGCATAGCCCCAGCCCTGATCAACTGATTTTTGACAAAAGATACAAAAGCACTTCAACAGAGATAGGACAATAGTCAATAAATAATGCTGGAATGACTGAATAGTCATATGTAAAAAGATGAACCTCACCCTAAACATTATACCTTATTGGATATTAGACCATAGAACTATATTATAAAATGAAAAAATACTCAACTTTTAGAAGAAACACAGGGAAAATATCTTTCTGATCTGTGATTAGGCACAGAATTCTTAAATTTAACACCAAATCACAGCCCCCCAAGTTTATGACTTGGGCTGGGGCTATAGCTCAGTGGTAGAGCACCTGCCCTGCATGTGTGAGACACTGGATTTGATCCTCAGCACCACATAAAAATAAATAAATAAAGATATCATGTTTACCAAAAACTAAAAAAAACTTTTAAAAAGTTCATGAATTGGACTTTATCAAAATTAAAACTGGCTGTTGAGACAACTCAGTGTTACAGCACTTGGTTAGCAAGCACCAGACTCTAGGTTTAATTCCCATCACAACTCTAAGAGAACAAACAGGGGAATTACAGAGTGAGAAAAATATATGTTAAATTACATTTAATAAAGGGCTTGAAACTCTCAAACTGAAAAAAAAAATCAACCCAACTGAAAAAGATTCGAAGTAACATTTCACCAAGAAGGATATGTGGATGTTAAATAAGCACATAAAAATTGTTCAGCATCTTTAGCCATTAGGGAAATGCAAATTAAAACCACAATGATACAGTTACCAATAAATCCAAGTACAGGAAATATTTCTAAATGGTAATATACCATTCTACATTTGAAAATGAGAAAAGATTAATTTTATAGGAAAAATACAGAATTCTAATCATGAAGATACTTTGAGCACAACTTTTTTAAGAGCAATTTTTCATACTCAATTGCTCTGGCCCTTTGTCAAAAGTCAATTGATCATATTCTATAGATTATTTCTGTACTCTCTATTCTGTTCCATTGATCTATGTCGGTTGCATTGGAGTAATTTTGAGGTTAATTTACAAGAAAATGGACAGAAAAAATATATTAGTTTTATTATGAAAATTCAAAAAACATATTTTGTATTTCAATGAATATTAAAGAATGGGTAAAACTCTTCAAAAACAAACAACAACAACAACAAAAAACCCCACAATGATATGCTACTATATACTTATTAAAATGGCTAAAATAAAAAACACTGATAATACCAAGTGCTGGTGAAGACGCAGAGCAACTGGAACTCTCACATATTGCTGGTGGGAATGCAAAATGTTACAGCCATTCTGGAAAACAACAGTTTGGCAGTTTCTTAAACAGTTAAACACACACAAAGCAGATGACCCAGTGATTACTGGGTATAAAACCTGGACACAAATGTATTCATATTTACCCCAACTGAAAATAACTCAAATGTCCTTCAGTGGGTGAACAGTTAAACAAACTATGGTACATTCATATAACAAAATATCATTCAGCAATTAAAAAAATAAACTACTGATGCATACAATATCTTGGATGAATCTGAAAGACATTATGCTGAGTGAAAAAGCCAGTCTCAAAAGAGTACATACTGTGTGATTCTATTTATATGACATTCTGGAGAAGGCAAAACAAGAGCGATGGGTGGTTGCCAGGTGTTAGAAACTGGAGGTTGAAGAGAAATGTAACTATACAGGGTGGCTAGCACAGAGTTGAAGGTGATGATACTATTCTGCATCCTGATTATGGTAGTCATATGAATCTATACAAGTGTTAAAATTCCTAGTACTATACATAATCCCAACTCTTGGTCAATTTTACTGTATGGTGATTAAAAGAAAAAGAAAAGAAAAATAAAAAAATAAAGCTAAAGTTAGTTCTTAAGATTCATTCATGCAGCTGGGCGCAGTTGCGCATACCTATAATCCCAGTGGCTTGGGAGGCTGAGATAGGAGGATTGCAGTTCAAAGCCAGCCTCAGAAAAATCGAGGTGCTAAGCAATTCAGTGAGACTATCTATAAATAAAATACAAAATAGTGCTGGGTATATGGTCCACCATGCGGCCTGCGCAATGGTTTCATTAATGAGGTTCTTGGCATAAAAGTTAGCTAGAAGAGATCAAAATAAAACACACAGACTCAGTTACCTTATTTCTATTGCCAGGTCCGAGACGGCTCCCCTCTCTGGCTCCGACCTCTAACCGCCCAGCAGGGCAGCAAGGATTACTCAGGGCTAGCAGGAGAGAGAGAGAGAGCACGCCAGGGAGTAGCCTTTTATTGGGGAACAAGAAATTCAGGGGATAATTCCATCCAATGAAGGTTGAGGGGGGACTGCACTCCAAGGTCAGGGTCAGTGATTGGGCCCCCAGGGTCAGTGGTCAGTCACACCCCCACACGGACGGGTTCTCTCATCAGGAAAGGGCCGGGAAAGTTCCGACACAGCCAGAAGCCTCAGACCAAAACCGGGAGTCACCCAGTCACGCGTGAAAATGGCTCCCCACAATATGGCTCAGTGGGTAAGTGCCCCTGAGTTCAATCCCAGCTACTGAAAAAAAAAATCATCTATGCAGTTGTATAGTATTCATTTTCTACTGCTACTTGGTATTCTAATTTATGACTATATCAAAATCTATCTATTGATGGTTTTCCAAATTGCTCTAAGATTTTTGCTACTGGAAACCATATTCCTTTAAGTAGTCTTGCACATGTTCTCTAATACATGTGAACTGAGTTCCTTTAGGGTTCGTAACCAAGAGAGGAAGTTGCTGGGTAGATGCTGCTTCTGGCATCAAACTACTTTCTGAGTGTAATGAGCATTCCCAGCAGGGGCATGTAAGAGGCCCGGTTACTTTATATCCTCATCAGTGCTGATCAGGAAAGCTAGACTCCCACTGCTCTGGCAGAAGCAAAGGATGATGTAGTGTGGCCTCACCCTGTAATTCCTTTATGGCTATTGAGGCTCAATTCTTGCCTGACATTCACTAGATGTCTTTCCTCTCATTAAGGGGCCTGTTGAGAACTCTTTTTTTTTTTTAATTGGGTTGCTTATGTTTTTCTCTCATTGAATCTGCTGCAAATGTCTTCCTTCCATTTATATTTTCCCTTATCTTTATGATAAAAGTTCTTAATAGTCCTACTGGTTTTTCACTAAAGATTTATGATTTTTTTTATGTGTTCCTGGCTAAATAACTTATTAGATCATAAATACTCTTCAAATATGAAAGGTAATAACGTTATAGTTTTGCATTTTATCTTTAATGTTTTCATAATATGAAAGATTTAAATATTTTAGAAATATTTTCCAACTAGATAACCCAACTATTTATTGAAAAGTTTGTTTCCATCTACATTGCCAGCTTGGTTACAAATACACATTTTAAATAATATGTAGGTATCTATAGCTCTTTTTCTTTTTTTCCGGCAGGGGTGGGGGCCAGAGGACTGGAGAGTGAACCCAGGGGCATTCTGCCTCTGAGCTGCATTCCCAGCCCTTTTATTTTGAGTCAGAAATCTCCCTAAATTTCCAAGGTTGGCCTCAAATTTACAATCCTCTTGCTTCAGTCTCCTGCATCACTGGGATTATAGTGCCTCTACACCCAGCTATTACTTTTTTAATTTTTTGGTCGTGGGATTTGAATCCACAGGAGCTTTACCACTTAGTAAT